CACCTGGAGCATCCAGCCCGGCCGGCCTCAACTCACATTCGCTCCCCTAGGTAAACCCGTGTCCTGAGCCCCCAAGCCAGGGAGGCTCCCTCCAGGCCTCTGTGGATACCTCCAGACACAGCCCTCCCCTCTGCTCAGGCTCTGGCCACCTCCGTTTATCTGGGGACCCCTCATCACTACTTCCCCTTCTTTCCTGGGGTGTCTTCGTATCTCTCTTATTTCAATAAAAGGGGTTTCCTTGAAGGGGGTGCAGGGGCCTGCAGATCATGGCACCAGGGACGGGGCATAGGGAGCCTTCTGTGACAGTCGGGCACCAGTACACACTTGAGTGAGTCAATGTTGTAAGTTATTACTATCCTCATTTTACAGATGAGAAAACTGAGAGGAAGACAGAAATTGTATCTTGCCAAGGGTCAAAAAGTTATCTAGTTGTGGGATGAGGCTTAAACCCAGGTGTTCTCCAGATACGAAAGAGGATATGCTGAATGATTCCATTTATGTGAAATTACAGAAAAGGCTACTTCATAGTGACATAAAGTAGAATAGTGATGCCTGAAGTGGGGGGGGGGGGGGGGGGTGACTATGAAGGATCAAGAGGGAAGTTTTTGGATGGAAATGTTCTACACGTGATTTTGGTGGTCATTTGTCGTGTATATATTTGTCAAAACTCATTGAACTATCACATTAAAATGAGTGCATTTATTAAATGTAAATTATACCTCAATAAAGGTTTTTTGGTTTTTGCTTTTTAATCCTGGTCTTCTGACTCAGATTTCAGTGCTCTTGCCTCCACCACTCAGGAGACATCAGTGGTGCTGTCACTGGTATGTGTCCTGCAGCCTGCAAGACCCAATGGGTGTCAGAATCCCATCTGGGAACGGACCAGGAGAGGAGTCAGGCAAGGCTGTGGGAAGGCAGGGCCCTTTAGTCCTAATTCAGCTAGAACACAGGCTAATCAATTGGCAGAATCAAATGTAAAGATTTTACTCCCTCTGGGCCCACCCAGAACTCGCATCATCACAGTTCAGGGGAGCTGACTTTACTTTATAAATTGGGAACAGGAAACCTGCCTTGTTTCCCTGGAAGCTGGGTTTCCATGACCCCACCCCCCCAGGACAGGTAACTGTTCCAGAATCTGCCCTCCTTCTGAGTCTGCAGCCCAAGCCAGGAACACCCAGGATGATTTATAATACCCTTTCTCCAAGCAATGAAAAGTTCAGAGTAAGACTTAAATTTAATAAGTTCCCTGGTGGCCTCTTCCAATTTGCATGTTGCCTCACTAACCTGGCCCAGATTTCTCCCCTCTGCAAGGCAATTTTTGGAAAACCAGACCCCAGTGCTAATTAAACTGATTCTAAATGACCAGCAAGCCAAAGATAAGGAGAGAGGGAGCCACATCTTGGGGCAGCAAACACAGCTGAAGTGGACACGCTCCTCGAATGATAAAAGATCAAGGGATTTTCAAAGCCTTGGCGTGTCCTGTTCTTTTTAGCTTCATAATGATCCAGGCTGGCTCTGAGGGCAAGAAGGCTCCAGAAACACAGTGCCAAGAGCTGAAATGGAGGGACAATAGTCCCTGTGGGTCAAGAGCATAAATTCCATCTTAAGGATGCTGATCAGCAGGAAGGATCACAATGACGTAATCTGTCCTAGGAGTTCCTGTCCTGGAAATATGGGTGAGCTTTGCCCAGATGACTCACATGAGCTGCCATCCATTCCAGCAGTCTATTCATAAATTCGGGAAAGGCTTTTCCAGTGAATTCATTTGCCTCTCCTGAAAGGGACCACAGGGCTGCATGCCTTTCTCTCCTTGGTGGCCCAACAAGGCCTGCTGCTGTTGCTGGCTCTCAGATCGCCAGTGAAAACTAACTCTGCCATGGATACATGGAATAAGTATGAGTTCAAAGGGCATCACAACAGGAGATGTATCTGAGTAGAAATGCTGTGACAGGGAGCTAAGCGTGAAGACATTCCATGCGTTCAGCAGAGCTTCACATCCAGGACAGAAGGGACTCCTGCAGGGTGGGAGCAGCAGGCCCACTGACATCAACACACATAAGTGTGGCCAACTCCACACACCCGGGGCATCCCCGGGCCACAGGTAAACCTGTCTAAAATGTTGCATAAGAAAGGATAAATGTCCTAAAATCCAGGTCTCTTGCAGATGAACACTCAAGGCTCCTTCTTCCATCCCATCTTGTTTCATTTTGTTTTTAATTTACTTTTATCCCCATTCCTCACTCCCATCCTCCCCCTTCAGGCAACCCTTCTAATATGCATCTTTTTGTGTGTACAGGCTTTTGCAAACATTGTATTCTCACGTGCATGTATTTTTAGCGTCTGTAATTGGTACTGTTGTATCTCAGTGTTTCTTACTTTTTCACTCAGCTTTTTTTTTTTTTTCAGTAAGATTGGCCCTGAACTAACATCTGTTGCCAATCCTCCTCCTTTTGCCTGGGGAAGATTGTCACTGAGCTAACATCTGTGCCAGTCTTCCTCTATTTTGTATGTGGGACACCACCACAGCATGGCCCAATGAGTGGTGTGTAGGTCCACGCCCAGGACCCAAACCAGCAAACCCCAGGCTACTGAAGCAGAGCACACAAACTAACCGCTCCACGGCCGGGCCAGCCTCATCACTCAGGTATTTTTAAGGTCTGTGTTGTATGTTGTCTGTGGCTTCAAACTGCTCTGTAGAACTCCATGGTGTCGTCCACTGAATTCTCCCTGCACGTTCTCCTGTGATGGACAATTTCCACCCCCCACCACCACTACCACCTATCCCCTCCCCCGACTACCCTCACACTGGGTGAGCATCTTTACATATGTCTCCTATGGACCCCGGTGAGAATCTCATTGGGAACATTCACCCAGACAGGGAATTGCTGGGCTGTGAGGCATGCACATACTTCATTTGATGAGTTGTGCCAGGCAGCTCCCCAGGATGGCCACACCAGTAGTGCACCGAGGTCCCCACATCTCTGCCAACACTTGGCATTACCCACCTTTGTAATTTTTGCTACCTGCTGAGTGCAAAGTGATATCTAATAGGTGCTTCAGTTCGTCTTTTTCTGATGACTGAGTTTGCACATCTCTTGGCAGACTTTAGAGTCTGCTTCTGTAAGTTGCTCATTCCCTTTGCCCATTCTTTTCTATGGGGGTTCTCTTTTCATTGTTAATTTGTAGGAGCTCCTTGTATATTCTTGACAGTTAATCCTTTGTTGCTTTCAACCATTGCAGACATCTTCTCTCAGCTCCCACTTCTACAGTTAGGCCTTTTGCCAACCATGAAAACAAAATTAAGCATAAGGATATAAAAGAAGAAAAACAACAGAAGTAAATGAAATGGGAGGATTGTTAGGGTGAGTTTAAAATATATTAAATGAGAAAATGAAAACAATGGAGGAAAATATTTACAGAGCAAAGCCAAAACTCTAAATGAGATTTTTTTTGGACCTAAAAGTACAAAATAAAAGTTAGAAACAAATAAATAGAGTACAAAAAAGACCAAAAAAAATAAAATAAATGTTAAGAAAAAACATTTTCTAAAAAAGTATAAAAATGAAGCAAATCATGCACACCTGTATTCTTTTTTAAACCTCATGGTAAAAAGGGAAATACTGCAGAAGTTAGAGAGATGAAGATTAAAGGGACAAACCATACGCACAAGTGGAAGCGAAAAACAAAGAAGAGCTAAGAGTAAAGACAGTCACAGCAGGCACTTGGCAAACCCCACTGTACCTCACAACAGAAAAGCAAGCGGGAATGGAGACAAAAAGGCTAAAATAAACCAAGTGCAGGCAGACTGCTAAGTCCGTATCAGCCAGGTCCTGCCCTCAGGGCTCCTGGGGTCCTGATGCAGTGGGCAGGGGGCAGGAAGGAGCCTGGGCTACTTCTGAATCATGTAAGAATTCACTCCGTCAGCCTGGGCCAGTGAAGAGCCTGGCCAGGACCTTTGTATTCAGAGCCACTGCCCAGGCCATGGTCAATGGACAAGCCTTGGGCAGCAGCCCATGCTGGACCTTGGCCTGGCTATGGAGATTCTGGGGCATCATCACTGAGCCCCTCACCACCACACCAACTCCCCGCTGAGCCTCGCAGCCTCTCTCGCTTGCTCACTGTCTGAAGTAGAAGCCACAGAGGGGCTGAGGCCATGTATGCCCCAGGGCCAGGGGAAAATGTTGCATTGTGAATCTCTTTGGCAGGCAAGGAGACAGGCTGTTTGAACAAGTTCAGTACCACCCAAGAGCACACAAGGCAACATCTCCATGATTCATTAGAGAAACCGGAATGTTATCCTGGCTTGCCCGAGGGAGGAGACTCCCAGGACAAGCCCTCTCCAGGAGACCTGCCATGCAGACGCTAGCTACTCGCCCAGAGTGGCTGGCTGTGCGTGAAATGATTTGATTGGCTAGTTCCAGTTTCAGTGACAGATAAAATAGATTAAACTTACAGGATATCCAGAATGTCACCACCTGGTTTCAGCACAAGTTGGAAGGCTGAGGAAAACTTCAGATGAGTCACTGCAGAGTGGAAAACATCTGATCTAAAGGTGAAGGTACAGGGGCCAAGTCCTGCTAACTAGAATCCTTCCAATTGTATAGTCAGGTTTTCCCCCAGCTGCTCCCAAAGTTCACTTGAAATTCAGTTGCTTGGCAAGGCAGATCCATTTTCTGAGCTATGGTGCTTGGTGCCGGTGCTGCCAGCTGGCCCACACAGCCCACTTAGCCCGCAACCCTGTGAGTCCCAGACTTGGGGATTTTATCAACCCGTTCTTGTTTGTTTTGAATTGGTGTTTTCTGTTTTTTTGGGTTTTTTTTAGGAAGATTAGCCCTGAGCTAACATCTGCTACCCATCCTCCTCTTTTTGCTGACGAAGACTGGCCCGGAACTAACATCCGTGTCCATCTTCCTCTACTTTATATGTGGGATGCCTGCCACAGCATGGCTTGCCAAGTGGTACCACGTCTACACCCGGGAACTGAACCGGCGAACCCCGGGCCACCGAAGCAGAACGTGCAAACTTAACCGCTGTGCCACTGGGCCAGCCCCTTGAATTGGTTTTTAATTGGGAGACTGATGTAAGATTATTGGTATTTTATTTTTCTGAGGAAAACTGTAAAAACTACCATCTAATATCACTACCGCTTTCTAAAAGAAAGAATATTTTAGTACCAAAAAGAGACTAAAGGTCTTTTATAGAGAATGACTTTAGGCTGTACGAAATGCTCATAGTTACATGTTTCTTTTTTGGGGAGGGCAGTCAGGAGAACCGTGGGCCAATGACATTGGTGCCCACTGCTGGGACCCGCCTGGAGTCCACCCAACCCCCGGATCATAGTGCCAGAGGGAAACAGGCGAGTGGGCTCAGGTGGGGCGGTGGGGAGTTGGATCTAGGCATGTGTTAGAGTACGACCTGTGCAAAAACAAATTTATCAACTGTCACTCAAATCTGATGCTCCTCCTGACCCCGCAGCTGGTGACTCACCTCCCTCCCTGATCTTGATGACCTCACATCTTCAGGTTCCGTCTCCTTTATCAGTGGTTCCCAAGCTACCACATCATCAGAATCATCTGGGAGCTTTCCAAACTGCAGACTCCCAGGTTCTACCGACAAGATCTGGTCCAGCAGTTCCAGGATGGAAACTCATGGTCATCTGGATTTTCAGGCGCCTCAGCCTTGTGCCTCCCACCACTCGACCCTACGAAATGACTGACCAGAAGCCGTCAGCCCTGGAGCCTGCAAAGTGGAGCTGAGAACAGGAACAGAATGCCAGAGGAACCAGACTGAATGGAAGCACCTAGGCCACCAAGTGAAAGCAGGGCTGGTCACAGGCTGTGCTGACGCCAGGACAACAGTAGACAGGAGCATGGAACTGGGGGACATGCCTCTCTCCAAGTTCACAGCCAAAGTGAACCACTTAGCTGGGAGGGGACAGCCAGGGCCGCAGCACGCAAGCACGAGCTGCACCTTCACGGGGAAAGGCTCCTGTTGGGGGAACCTCTTTGGATGCCACCCTGGCCTCTCGCCACCACTGTGGCCTCTGCAATCTCTCTGTCGTTCTTGCCGCCCCACCTCCATGCTGGTCCACTCATCCAGTCACTGTCATCAAACCCCTCCACCTCCATCCCTATGCTGTGTACACAGCCCAGGGGTACAACCAGCACCTGCTGATGGAGTGAGTGACCACTAGGAGCACCAGCTGGACCAGGGGACTCCTTGTATGGTGGGTCCAACCCTCAGGGAGGGCAGCTGCGGGAAGGAACCGGCAGGTGTGCCTCCAGCACAAACTCCCCTCCACCCTCTCACCTGAGCACCCACTTCCAAAGGAAGACGCTGCAACGTTGCGGAAACTGCACTGACAATATCTGAACACCCGCGTGCAGCCTGAGGGGACTAGCTCTTGTGGAACTACTTGGGACAAAGTCTTGTGAGTTGCGAGGCAATCAGGTCCTGCTGGCCGTGGTCTCGTTTCTCTTGGCCAGGCCGGGACATCACTCTCTGACGAGGCTAAGTGGTTCTCCAGACGCATGCCAAGGGGCCAAGGCCACGATTTTGCAGTTGCAGGCTCTGAGAGTCAAGATCCTTCTCCACTACAATGGGCTGTGACCTAACACAGGGCCCAAAGCTCAGAGGCCCGCCTGGTGAGGCCGCCCTCTGAGAGGGGGAGTGTACGTACAGGGGGCAGACGTGCTCAGGACCAGGCACCCACAGGCGATGTGGCCCCTGACGCCATGCCCCCTAAGTCTGCACCCCCCCAATTGTTTGTCTGATTTCCCATTTTGGATCTCCGGTCTCACCCCAGAGAACGCAGATCCTGTATCCTTTCCTCCTTCCACCCCAACTGAAGTTTATTAGGATCAACCCTGGTCCTAAATTCAGACTTTATAAAAATAAATATTTCTGATCTCTCTACAGAACGACGCCAACTGGAAACTGACAAGAATCAGCACCTCTTTGGGACTTCATTTAAAGAACATGCCATGGTTTGCTCTACTAAGGTCTTGAGGGCACTTGCTCACATGATCTCACCCCATGGGGCTTCCTGTGTCCACGTGACCCCAGAAGCTGCTGTGTGCAACAGCATCAGGTTTCTCGGCTAATGCCAGGCCTGCACTCAGAAGAATTAACAGGACCATCTTAAAATACAGACCACAAGAACCACAATGGGAGGGAATATATTTACTTTACGTATAAAGGTTTGCTATTATTAACAAGTTACCACTATTATTTACATGTTTATAAAATGGAAATAAAAATGACATACATGTTTGGTGCCAAAAGCGGCACATCCAAACTAACATCAGTACAAAAATAAATTTTCAAGCTACGTGTTTTTAAAATAAATGTCATTGAAACAGTAAGGGGAAAAAAATCTCTATCAGTCATGTGTTGAAACGCAAACATCATCACAGCAAAGAAGCTCAGGGGCAACAACGAAACCAGTGCCTGCTGGCAGAGGTGCCCCCGGGTTCTCACAGGAACCCTAGCAAACAAACGACAAACAGAGACGGAAGTTATGTTCCTGAGCTACAGAAGTGTAGAGCCTCTCAGTGCTGTGAGCTCCGGCCACAGAGGATCCCCGACGGGTGTGCGCTGCGAACTCTCACTAGTGCTCAGCGAGTGGAGTGAGGACAGGGAATCAGAGACAGACAGCTAAGCCCCCTTGTGAGACAGAGAAATCCTATGCTGACAAAGAACAGCGTGCATGAGTCCTTTCTGTCTATCACCAATCCTTGCAGGTCACCTGGCCACAGATAAACAGGGACATGGGCAGAGGGAAAACAAGACATCTGGTTTGGGAGCCCCTGTGCCTACCAGACACGACTCTCAGTGATTTGGGCAGAAATCCGCAGTGTTTCCAGGGTCTCATCCCTTGGTAGATACACACGTGTTCAACCCTGGCAGCAGATCTCATTGGTCAACACAGCTGTGGCCCACCAGGGAAAGCAAAGCCAGCCTGGCAAACCCTCTGTCCACCGTACATGGTACTTCAGCCCACAGTGGCTAATGTTCCTCCTCATTCCCACAAAACTGGGCCAGGACTGTCTGCCTGCTAGAAGTGGCATGCTGGGTCAGGGAGGGAGCTGGGTGAGCAAGGAGCACGGCCCTGCCAACTCCAGCTCTGCCTGGGTGCAGTGCAGCGGGATGCCCACCCGTGCACAAACTCCTGTGGACCCCAGCAGGAAATGCAAACGCTGCAGGGAGTGGGGAGGAAGGGTCTGACGAACGGGCTGCAGCCCCCTTCAGAGCAGCAGAAGGTCCCACACGAGCTGATGCCGGCTCAGCCCCTGGGCACTGGGGGGCAGCAGTGTGGAGGTGAGGGCACCACGCAGTCCCCGCAGCTGCAGCCGTGCTCTGCTCACTGGTCCTGGACCTTGGCCCTTTTGGCTTTTAGGGACAGGTGCTACAAGAAAAGAGAAAACACCATAGTTGGGGTTGGTTAGAAAATGAAACCAGACTTCAACGTAATTCCCATCTAAATGACCAAATGGAAGCTTCCATCTGGTCCACACCTTCTCAGTAAATGCTGTGCTCTCAGACTACTCTGGAGGGAAAAAGCCCAAGTGACCATCAAAGGCCACGGGCCTTCGGGAAGCCACAGTAGCCCAAGGCCCAGCCCGCCACAGCTCAACCTGGTCACACGGGGCTCTGCGGGAAGCTGTCAGCGCAACACAGCTCTCCCTCTGCCCTAGGCCACAGGCCAGCACTGCAGCCAAACACCACTGCTCAGTGGACTGGGCTCGAGCTGGATATCACTTCAAGTTTCCATGAACTTCTTGAGAATGATCAAGGAACGGCATCCTCCCCTTAGGAACAAGGAGACCCATCATTTTATCAAGAGTCCCCACATGCAGATACCCAGGCCCTCACGAAATCCCTTGCAGGTGCAGGTGCAGGGAAGACACAGGAAAAGGACACCTCCTAGGGACACATTTTCCTCTCACAAGTGTCCACAATACAAATAACACAGGAAGCATAACATTTAATCATGGGCATCAGATAATAGGATTGACGGATATAAACATTTTTTACATTCTAAGGTAAAGCCAAAAGTGCCAGAAATCCTACAATAAGCATTTAAGGCAGACTGTAAATATAAGCTTGTAATAAAAGACCTCTGTCCACCGACTGAGGTAGCCCTGATACCCACTTAATAATCACAAACAACCAACCATAAGGGATCCCTGACGTGTGCTGCCCTAACATGCAGCAGGATCTCCACACGAGGAAATGCCACCCTGACTGCCAGCAGAGCAGGCCTGCCCAGCCTACCACGTTCAGCACCCAAACCCACACAGCCTCGAGACAGCAGTCCCCACCAGCAGCAGAACTGCAGGCTCTAGAAGTATTCAGGGCACAAAAGAAGAGTGCCCCCCAAGCACAATGTAAAAGACGACTGAGTGAACAGGACACAGGTCTCAACAAGCTGTTGGAAGTCACTTTCTAACCACTTACACCTGGAAAAGGACCAGCATAGGTTCTTGCAAAGGCCCTGGCTCAGAGGGTTTTCCCCAGATTCCAAAGAATCGGGAAAAACAATTTAAAGACTGGAAAGCAAACCTCTGAAGAGTCTACCCTGCTCCTCCCCTCTCCAGCTGTGGGTCTTGCTGAACTTCTGTAAATCCTCTCCCCCATGCACTTCACCCGACGCGACCCCTACGATTAAGGTCAGACACCCACAGCCCCAGCTCGGGAATGGGAGATGATGTCATCATGCCTATGGGACCATTTTTGGTGCTCATTTCTGGGAAGAATGTTGAGTATAAACAAAGCCGACTCCAGACCATTTCAGGCCTCTGTACAGGGTGAGAGCAACACTCTGAAAACAGTGGTAATGGAAAGTCACCAAAGGTGCCAGGAACAGAGCCGGGGATGATGTCTGGGCTGTGGATGGTCATGAGGTGCTCCAGTGTCCAGCAAAGGAACATCTACCATAAATGGGCAGCCAAGGGAGATCTGTGCGGCTCCTGGAGAAATCAACTCATTTTGGACAAATTAACAGAAGTGTCTTTGGAATGGCCAAACTGGAGAAAATTGGAGGGGCCAAGTATCTGCAGGGGGTTCAGGGCCCTTGCCTGTATGACCAGGTTGTTGCACTGGGTGGTTTCTAAGGTTCCAGGTGCCAGGAGTGGATGAACTCACAAACAGGTACTTGGAGAGAAGAGAAATGCAGAAATTTGGGATTGTCATTTTCCTCAAACTTCTGGAGCAATTTTCTCTCTAACTTTGTGGGTTTGACCTAAAGAAACTGTAATTTTGAGCTGAGAAGGGAAAATGACTCAGCTTCTAGGTTAATTCTGTTCTCTGAGAGTCTAAATGAATCCAGGACAACTTCAAGCTTCTCTTCCTCTCTCGAGCTGCCCTGCGTCTTACCACTTCAGCTAGAGCTCTCAAGAGTGACACCACTCTCCCGCTGTCTAGTTGGCATCTCTAATCACTTCTCTTGGACATCTGAAGTCTGCTGCTTTCCAACTGAGAGGTTTTGAGGGAAAAGATTTTCTTTCACATCAGGTTTATTCTTATCAGCCCAATACAGTAAAGACAACACACTCTGCATTTTTTTCAGTCCCTGCAGTTGATCCGGTTTCTGGCTGAAATATCTGTATGAGGATGTGTGAAGAACTATATAGATTTGAAATCTTTTTTGTTTGATGGGATAAGATTTAAATACTATAAGAAGATTTAAAAAGGGCAATTTCCTTTGACATTGCAGGAAGGGGAGGGATGAGAAGATCCTTCCACTTACAGGGTCACAACTCAAATGTTTCTCAGAGTCAAGCAAGGGAAACAAACAAGTGAAGCAGGACTGTGGTGCCTGGAGGGTGCCACTCACAGCAGGCAGCCACGCCTCTGCCCATCGACTGCTGCCAAGCAGTAACTCAGGCCCAGTGTCAGCAGAGTCAACGTTTCTTTCAAGAGAAAACTGAAGTCCATATTCAATGTGAAATCTTTCAATTTTTAAATGTACCAATCAATCCAAACTTTGGTTTGAAAACACTGCAGTCTGGTTTCAGTCCTGATGCAGTAACAGGTTTTGGACTTCCCTTTGTGTGGTAAGCAATGATAAAACTGCACAGAATATCTGAAGCAACGGTTTTCAGGCACTGGGCAACAGACAGCACAGGGCTGTAATTCTTGAGAAAAAGGAAACACTCCAGGTGAGCTCTGTATTTATCCTGGGTCTCTGCCTGGTCTCTAAACGTTAGCACAGGGAAGTCAATAGAAGACAACAGTGTTGCTTGTTTCTATTGTGTTTGTTTTCTATAGCATTGTTATACTAAGCTGCACATGTGCAGCCAACATTCGACAAGGCTGGCAAAGAACAGCTACAGGGGAGTTGTGTGCTGATGTGGAGGTTCTCCAGGTTTGTACAGTGGAGACACTGGAGTTCTGACCAGCCAGAAAGCAAAGACCTCACTGAACATCCTAGGCACTCACTTGGAACATCAAAAAGGCCATGTCTTAGGAGTAGGGCTACTCTAGATCTGCCCTAGTAAAAACGAAAATCAAGCTTTGGTGGAATTAAACTGATCTGCCAATATTAACTGTCTACTAGAAAAAAACTCAACATTCTTTAAAGAAAAGAACAAAATCCAGACTCTTCACAAGATGGCATCTATACTGTCCAGCATACAACAAACAATTACTAGACAAGAGTAGTAGAAAAATGTGACCAACAACGAGAAGGAAAATCAGTCTAAAGACAGACTAGACCAGTGACAAGAGAGACACTGAATCAGTAGACAAGCCCTTTAAAACAGCTCTTATAAACATGTTCAAAGAACTAAAGAAAAAGATGGACGTAAGGAGTGAATACGTGGAGAATCTAAACAGAGAAATAAAAAATTAAAGAAGAACCAAATGAAAACGCTAGAATGGAAAATACAAGATCTGAAATGAAATATTCTCTGCATGAGCTTAAAAGTAGATTGGACACTGCAGAAGAAGTGACCAGTGAACTTGAAGACAGGTCAACAGAAACTATCAAAACTGAAGTAAAGAAAAAAAAAAGACCAGAGCCTCAGTGACAAGTGAGACAATATTAATTGCTCTAACACATCTGTAATTGGAGTTCCAGGAGACAGAGAGACATTGGAGCAAAAAAAATATTTTAAGGCATTTCTATGCCAAATTTCCCAAATGTAATAAAATGAAACCTCAGCCCACAGATCCAATAAGCTCAATGAACCCCAAGCAGGAAAATCACAAGGAAAAGCACATTATAGGTCAAAGTGTTGACAAACCAAAGACAAAGGAAAAAAAATCTTAAAAGCAGCCAGAGAAAAAAACACACATTACATACAGAGGAAC